CTGGGGCAGACTGGTGTCCTGTCCTCTGACAGTGGCCAATGCCAGATGCCCCAAAGGGAATGAACAGAGCAGGTAATCATCAAATGATTCCTCCCTCTCACCCATTCCAGCCTCTAACAAACAGGCTAGGGAACACCATTCTTGCCCATCCTGGCTAACAGCCACTGATGGACCTATTCTCCATTAATTTATTTAGTTCTTTTTTGAACCCTGTTAAAGTCCTGGTCCTCAAAACATTCTCTGGCAAGGATCTCCATAGATTGACTCTGCTTTGTATGAAAACATGCTTCCTTTTGTTTTAAACCTGCTATCTATTAATTTCATTTGGTGTAGGGATGAGACTAGTTGACTGTTCAATAAGCAAAAGCTTATTGGATAGTCAAGTAATCCCTCAACTAGTCACTTCCCCCCACTAATCACTCCTCCCCCCCATCAGAGGCAGTAAGGGGGCAGAGCAGGAGCTGGTGCTGGGAGCAGCGGGCTTAAAAGCACCGTCTTCATAGGGGGCAGAGGAGGCAGAAGGGTAGGGGAACCAAGTGCAAGTCAGGAATCACCTCATTCTCGGCTCGCACCCAGTCCCAGACGCTGCACCTCTGCTTTTTAAATTTATTAAAAGCCTACTTTAAATAAAATAAAATATTAATTTGATGTCAAACACAAAAGGTTTCAATGTTTTATTTATTTATGGCACAGGTGGAGAACATTTTTTGGTTCAGGGGCCACTGACCCACAGAAAAATCAGTTGGGGAACCACACAACTGAGAAGCAAAAAAACTCCTCCCCAAACCACCAACCCTCACTGATGTGGCGCCCAATTGAGATACCTTACCTCTCTGGCGCACCAGCCCCACAGGATGAGGGGGAGGGACAGGGAGGACTGAGGTTCAGGGCTTCCCATGGGCCAGATTTACTTTTCAAGGGTTCCGGAGTTAATGGATTTTGTGGACCCCATAGGGTCTGGGGTGTGGACAAAAATCAGGGATTCAGTGTGTGGGACAAGGCTGCCAGTAAGTGGGATAAGGATATGGGTGCAGGATCTGTATGGGAGGTGGGATGCCGGAGGGAGTGAGAGGGGTGAAGATATCTGAGCGAAGCAGCAAGGTGTAGGGTTGCCAGCTGGTTTAATACAAAATACTGATCCCGTCCCCCAAAAAAACACCAGGGAAAAAATTCTGTTGAGGGGAAAAAAAGAGGGGGAGACCAAAGTTGTTGAGAAAAAAAAGGACTGTGAGAGTTAAGCAAAAAAAATAAAAAAATAAAACAGCATTAAAACAGCTTTAAGTATGTGCAGAGTCAGAATTTTGATAGCAAGAGTGGAGCGGTTGCGCACTAAGACCCAGGGAAGGCACTGCTTCCCCCTGGCTTCAGTTCTTTAGGCTTTTTTGCTGGTGGCCATTTTGTTTTCTTGATGGAGCCAGAATGCAGCTTCCCTGCAGAACCAGGGGGTCCTGGGGAGGCTGGGGCCCACTGGGGGGCCCAGTTGCCGAGTGTGTTGTAGGTTTTCCAAGTGTCCAGTATTTTTACCTCCTGGCTGGGAAAAAAATAAGAAAATACCAGACATTTCAGATGTCCTGTATTTTCTGAATTTTTTTTACCAGACAGGAATCGAAAATACTGGACTGTCCGGGTCAAAACCGGAATCCTGACAACTCTAGTAAGTGTGTGTGTGAGGGGGGGACGGGGGACTGACTAGTTGACTTGACTATTCGATAAGCATTTGCTTATCGGATAGTCAACTAGTCCTTAACATCCTTATTGTGGATCTGAGTCTGCACACATCCTTATTGTGGATCTGAGTTTACGAGCTTACAACAGGGGAGGGGAAACTCAGGCCCAGTGGCCAGATGCAGCCCTCAGCTTGCATAGATCCAGCCTGAGGCTCAGCCCCCTCTCCCAGCATTGAGGTGCCCTGCGCTGGTGCTACAGCTTCCCTGCTGCCACCCTGGAGGCTGGAGCACACAAAATTGACTGGTCTGTGCCCTATAGGCTCTGGTGTATGAGGGGAATGTGGAGAGTGCCTTTCTCCTCAGACGCGTAGCGAGGGAGAAGGGGGGGCAGTTGCCCCTGGGCGCCACGCTAAGGGGGCCTGGGCTGGGCTACGGGGGGAGGTGTGGGGCGCTAGGCTCACCTGAGCTGCAGGAGGAGGGAGGTGCTGGGAACCCGGCACTGGACTCAAGGGGAAGGACGGAGGGGCAGGGAATTAGCACTGGGCTCAGCATGTCTGCACTGTTTGGGGGAGATGCAGGGAAACGGAGCTCAGCTGGGTTGCAGAGTGAAGAAGTGCGGGGTGCTGGACTGGGCTGCAGGGGGGAAGGCACGCGGTGCAGAGCTCAGAACTCAGTTTGGCTGCAGGAGGAGGGAGGTGCTGGGAACCGGGGCTAGACTCAATGGGAGGGAGGGGCAGGAAATCATTGGGCTCAGCAGTTCTGCAGGGCTTGGGGGGAGGTGAAAAGAAGCCGGGCTCAACTGTGCTGTGGGGGAGGCATGCAGGGAGCCAGTGCAGGGCTCAACTGGGATGAGGTGGATGGGGGAAGGCATAGGGAACAGAAGGGCAGCTCAGCGGGGCTTTAAGGGGCTTCTGGGAACTGGTGCTGCACTCCCTTGGATTGTGGGGATGGTTTGGGGGTTTTACTTTATTTAAAATGAAGTTTGATAAAATAACATGAGAAAGTTAACATTTAATCTTTTTAATAATTTAAATTAAACCATTCTCTCCAGCTGCAGCACTAGCAAAATGGCTTGGTCATAATTGTGTAATTAAAGGTGGGTTTCCATTAGTAACTGGCCATCTGCGGAAAGGTTTACATTGAGTCATGTGGCCCACAGGCCAAAAAGCTTGAGAACCACTGGAATAGAGGCACCCCTGGCCTCTCCCTCCAGAGAGACCACTGCAGGCTCCCTGCTGCTCCACAAGACCCCACAGAGAGATCAGGACTGTTACCATGGTGGTAAATCACCATATTGCTCCAGAGTGGATGATGGACAGACTCTTTGTGAGTCTTCCTCATCTAAGCAGTTGATTTAAACAGCATGGTAAGATGCCACATGAAAACATTTGGTAAGTCCACCAAGAGGCAGGATGTTTTGTCTCTCCAGAGAGAGTTATCATGACTTGTGTCTCTGGGTGAACAAGATCCTTTGTGAGCTCTGTGAAGAGGTAAGATGTTTTCACTTCTAGCTTCAAGAGATTTGTTCTTCTGTCTTTGGGATGCATGTTGCTTTGACCTGAATGGAGTTAGCTGTGACAATGCATTTCTGTATTCTTCTGACACATAAAGTGAAATCGGTGCTGAAGACCCCACATTCAGTGAGAGAAATTGCTGCTGTTAGAAACAGTATATTCAAAGTCTCTCCAATTTTCTTCAAAGATCACCTCTACCAGGCAGTAGGGCTTTTCCTGACTGGTCCCTTATATGTTTGAAGGGTGACAATGTTATCTGGATCTTTTTGGGTCATATCAACAAATTGTTTTGGGCTCAATCCTAGATTAAAATGTAAATTGTATTAGGCCTTTTGTAAGCACGTTGGGAAGTAGTCTAATTTGGTAATTACTATTCAATATTATTTATATAATATGCATATTGCCATTTTGGTATTGACATATACATTTCTCAGTACCTTTACATATAAAATAGCCCAGCCCTATTGATCTCCATGGGCAATGTACCTTGTAAGGAGTGATGGGGATATTATGAAGTTGTTTAAACAAATATCTTGTAATTGTAGAAAAAAATTTGTGTGTGAGAAAACTGTAGGTCCTGGGGGTACTTATACATTTTTTAAAAGGGATACTTTATTAAAAAAAGGTTGAGAAACACTGCTCTAAACCATCCCTTTTGGCCTCCATTTCCTTTCTCTTTTGACAAGTTGGGAAGGTAGCAGTATTGGTAAAAATATATCAGACATGTGCACGCAGTACCTGCTCTACCTCAGCTGGCGCTAGATAATCAGAGCCTCAATTCTAAAGGAGTTGGCATTACTGAGTTGATCAATCCTCCCACGTTTTGTTGTGGATTTTCCAAATAAAATGCTGGTGTTTTCTATAGGTCACCCACATCTCCCAGTCATAGCAGAGACTTGGGATTAAACATGGCTTTTTCAACTAAAAGTCGTCTACATGTTTGGACACGGTGATTGTGAATAGCTGGCAAGGCAGTTTGCCAAAGGCAAGACTGGCCTTAAATCTTGATATCTATGGCTTCAGTTGAATGGCTTGTGTGAAATAGGAAGAGCAGCTCAGAGAGACCTCTCTCCTTTACTTAAGGATAGAATCTCAGCAGCCTGAAGGAAAAAGTCCTCATGGCAGACTGAAAGCCTCGCTTGCAGTGTATCCACAGCCTTAGGCTACTTATTGCTTCAAGAAAGTGAGGGTGATTCTCGTGTTGTGTGTTAGATTTATTTAAAAGTTTTTTCTGAGTGTTATTTTAACAGGTAAATTAATCTTTTACATTCACTGACATAGCAAAGGAGGTGTGTGGGGAGGGTAACTGCCTTTCTTTTCCCCTTATCATAACTCTGCTCCCTGCTCCTCCTCCATCCACCACCGCCTGCTGAAGCCTCCTCCTTGCCTCTGCCCCCCCAGCCTGACCTTCCTCCCTCTTCAACAGTGGGATAGTGCCCCCTCAAACTGGAGGGGGGGGGAAGACACAGTACAAGCTCCTCTCCACCCCTCCCAGCCCCCCCTCCCCCCGCACCAGATGCGAGGGCCGTCATGTGGGGACAGGGGCACAAATTTTGCTTTTGCATCAGGGCGCTTAATACCCTCGCTACGCCTCTGTTTCTCCTACTCAGTCAGGGGTCACAGTGAGAGCTTCTCCCCTCTTCTCACGTGTGTGAGGCGCCCCCCCCATGATTGTTTTGTGGGCTAGTGGCCCCCGGCCCAAAAGGGGTTCCCACCCGTGCCTTAAGGAAGGGAAGGTGCTGTCCCAATGCAACTGCCCAAAGGGCTGAATAAGAGGCACCAGTGACTGTAACTTTAGCAAGGTGCTGGGGAAACAGACCTGGCTAGCGTAAGCTGGGGGGTGCGTGCCCATACTCGGGGCACTGGGTCCCTCCCCACGTACAAGCTGGGGACGAGGCGGCGCTGCACGAGGGCGGACGGGTCCGCGTCTGGCTGGCGTGTGCGGGAGAGCGGGGGGAACCGGGTCTGGACGGAGGCGGAGGGAGCTGAGCTGC